ACTACTTTGAAGTGATAATATTTCTGCAGAGAATCTGGCAAAAAATGGAGACATTGATTATTTTTGTTATGAAAAAACAAAATACTACTGCTTAACATGTAAATATTTCCATAGTGTTCATAACCATTGAGCTTACTTCAAATGACCATCCTATCTGGACCCAAGAGGATATGGGCCATCTTCCAGAGCAGTTTTGGATCAAATCTGGTGCTCTTGCAGGAGCAAATTGGAGAGTGAGATTTTTATACATCTTTTTGAATAGTGAGACCTAAAACTCCTATCTTACACAAACAGTTCATGGTTGTATCAAAGTGAAATTAATAAATTATAAACAATTAAACTATTTTTTCCATACTACTTTTTGCTTTTAATTCCTTTAAATCCTTGGGGATGAGAAACATAGGGAAGTACAAGGCTTGTGGAAAATCTCTAGGGTATAAGTATCAGTGTCATGGAAATAGAACTCTTGCTACCCAGCCCTTTCCCTGTGTCTCAGTACAAAGAGAAACAATTTTCTTTTTCTGTCACATTCTCTTTAAGACCTGTAAGAATGTTCCCAATATACACAGGATGTTCTGATTGCATTAGAAGTAAACTGAAAGAAAAAAAAAAACCATGAACATGGGGAACCTATTAGATTGAATACAGGAAAATACAGATTATAATGTATTCACTGTATAGATATTGATCTACAGAGTGTATATACATATTTATTTACTGAAAATCACTTTAATGGCATTATATAATACATTATGCTATACAAATAGTTTAGGAGATGTCACTATACAACTAAGTGGTTAGTTTTCTCCAGAGTTCTTTGGGAATGAAAGGAAAACTTAGTTTAAAATGCTCAAACTTCAAATCTTCATTAAAAAGAACAAGGTGAGAGAAAAATAACATTTGGCACAAATTCAGAATAAATGGCCAGATGTTAAGACAGAAAAATCGTTTCTCAAATATAAAAGAATGATTACAAATCTTTACTGATTCAGTGGCTGATAAACCATGCCAGGAATTTAAGGAATATCATGTGAGGATTTGGAAACGTGAACTGCTTAAAATTACCAAGTAATAATAGTGGTTCCAAATGCCTATTTAAAAACGTCTATAAATGCCTATTTAAAAATGTCTATAAATTTGTTGTAATTTTTATATCAGGCTGTAATAAGTGATAAGAGTAAATAAAACCAGATATTTGATGTAAAAAGCTACTTCAAAGATTATTATTTTTCATGAATAATGGTCACAAACATCTGACAACATTTAAACTGACAATTAATAAATTCTAACCATTTCTTTTTAAAACCTAAATATCAATTTCAGCCATTTTGTGTTCTTTGGGAATGAAAGGTCCGACACTTACGCCTGTGGGAAACACTTATTCATAGTGTTTTCTTTATCAGGAGAAATGACTGAGATGGTAGAACATTAATGAACAGTTTCAGGTCTCACAAACCTATGTTGACAATTAACTGCTCGACTTTGGAAGTATAATTCTTTGCTCTGTTACATTTTGAAAGGCATAGAAATCCTGGCCTGTGAGCTTTTGTAGAGACAGAGGTATTATGAACTAAGTCACAAACTATGCAACGATATTGAGTGTCAACATATAACTACCTCACTAATGAAATAAGGCTGGGGAGTAATGTTTGTTGTTCATCTAACAGATGACAACTGAATGTTAAGATCTGTCATCATTCTGCCTTATTTATTCTAGGCAGTTTATCTTGATATTAACTAGGCCAAAAAAGAAATCTACTTGCTCTTTTGCAAAAAATGTGTACACTCACAACTTCCATTACCAATTAAAACAAATGATTGACCATTTCAACTGTACATGGTGGCGGTTTGACAGTTAAAGATTCCTTTTCTTATTAATGGATAAAGTACAGGCTGTTCTCCACAGAAATGTGATGGTGTGGTTTGACCATATCCATTAACCTCTGTTTGTAAGCTGTCTCAACAGCGTTTGATTTCTCAGAAACACTGCAGAGCAGTTCAGCAGAGACTGTAGTTAGCTGAAGAGTAAAACACAGTATGAAGAAAACCGTGGCTGTGAACTAAACTTCCGAAGTTTCAAAATTAAATGTCGTTAGAGAAAATATAAACTGAAATGTTTTAAAAACAGAAATGTGTGCCCAGTGGTGTTCAGATTTGTGCCAAATTAAATCTTCATCAGTGCTGATATGGTTTAACAAGTAGTATGTGAGACTACAAAAGTTTTAACACGGATCACACTCATTTGGAACACAGAGTTTGAAGAAAAACACTTAGAAATTGCTGAAAATGGTGACATTTGCCCTTTTATTGCTCTGAATACATTGTCACTGTTCTAGCCTTAACACAGGGCTGGCACCTCTCAAAGGCCAGCTTTTCGGGTCTCTAACGAATGCTGGGAAACTAAGCACAGGGACCACGCTGAGGCCTGGCACCATCTTTCTTGCCCTGCCTCATCCTTGGGTTCAACCCAGTGATGCAAACAAAACTTCCCACCAGTCAACCTGCACCTCTGCCTTAGACACCTCCAGCTGGGTGTATTATTTAAGAAGCCAAAGTCGAGTTTAAGCACATCTTGGAAAAGTGGTTCCTTTCCTTCTGACCAACACGGGCATAATCCTGTATTTCTGCATGAAGTTTATTTTTCTATGTGGAGAGCAGAAATAGATAAATACAAAAATAATACAACAATTAACATGTAGCATAGGACATGAAACCATGCCCAAGAGTGTTAAGTGCTACTGGAAAAACTAATGGGGGGGGGAAGTGGGGTGTCTGCGGAGAGTGACAACCATGATTGTTAGGCAAGTCTGACTCTACAGGAGACCTCTGAGCAGAAATTGCAGGGCGGGGGGGGGCAGTGAGTGGAAAGGAACAGGTCCTGCAGCTTCCGAGAGGTCAGTCTCAGGGCAGTCTGAAAGACACGTGAAAAGCCACCCCATGATTTTGGGTAGAGCAGTGAACCCATCTCACTTGTTTAAGCCACTCCTCTTGACTAGCTATGGTGGAGGCACCATCAAAAGAGACCAAGAAGATAACTTGATAACAGGTGTCCCAAAGTTTGCCCAGGTAACTATCAAAAGAGAACAAGGGTTGAAGCCTGGAGAAACAGGTTTAAGCGCCTTTGGGAGCTAGACGTTTTCCTGGAAGATGCTCCTGCTTGACCAGTGGGCGACCACACAGAAAACTGGTTCCTGTCATTCCAGCCTCAGGTCTGGCTCTGGGAGGGTCAAGCCTGAGCTTGCTCACCGCGTTGCCATAGAGACCGAGGGACTTTTGTTTTTTTATCCCACCCTGCCCTTTCTTCTCTGGCAGTGGGCACCCGGACTGGAATCCCTACCCCCCTGAGCGCCAGATCGGCCCCAGCTCTGGCTCATCAGTATTCCACCCGCGGCGTCTCCAGGCGTCCGCCCATCTAGCAGAGACAGACCGACCTGCCTCCTCCCCGGGGCTCTCTGAAGCTTGCCTGGAGGCCTTCGGCACAGGCGGGGCTCTGCCCAACGATGTAGCCTCATGCCACCCTCTGGGCACGGACGGGCTGCAGATCCGTGGCGGAGAGGGGGCGCCCTGGGTGCAGCTCACAGCCAGCGCGCCCCGGGAAACCCACTCTAAGGCATCCCCGCACCAACTCACTGGGGACATTCAAGTTCCCTGTGTGCAGGTTAAGCTCCCCCGAGCCTTCTGCAATGCACCAGATTGGGAAGGCCTACGTCGAAGTCACCTTCAACGCGCCCCCGCTGGGATGCGCTGTGAGCAAAAGAGGGGGACCCATTGCGCCAAAAGCGGGAGGATCTGAGGCTTAGGGGTGGGTTTTCTCAGGACTCACCTTGTGCAGTTTCCACATGGCCCCCAGGGCCTTGACTTCGTGGCTGGAGTGCTTGCCCTCCTCCAGGCACTGGTAGCACACGGGCATCTTGCACTGCACGCAGTACATGCTGTGGTTCTCCAGCTCGTGGTCGGTGCAGGTGGACACCTTGCGCGGGCTCAGCCTCCGGCTCACGCGGCCCTGGGCCGGGGGCACCAGGCGGTGTTTGGCCAGGGGTCCCCGGGGTGGGTGACAGCGCAGGCGACATGGGTCGCAGTAGAAGACATCGCACTGTTCACACATGACGGTGGCCTCCTTGGGCGCCTTCTCGCACAGCTGGCACTTGAGGGCCGCAGCTTTGCTCTGTTGGTAGCGGTCAATGACCCCTTCCAAGACGCGGTTCTTGGGAAAGCCGCGGAGACCTCGGTCGTCCAGAATGAGGCTGCGGTGACACTGGGGACAGGTGATACAGGAGTTGCGGGGCACCGGGGCCAGGGCCGGTGACAGGTGGGTGGGCGGTGGCGGCATGGCTGGGGGAAACACTCGGACTCCGTTGGGGGACTTCTGGCATGGGGTGGTGGGGGCGCTGGCGAAGCCCCCGTAGGAGCCGTAGCCACTGTCCGCCTCGCTGTACAGGCTCATCTTGTCCAGATCCAGGTAGTCATAGTCGGAGACCCCAGAGCCCGAGGCCCGACGGCTCTGGGGGGACTCCGACTCCGGGGTCTGCACCAGGATGTTGCGAGCGCACGCCTGACACAGATTGTGGGAGCAGGGCAGGATGATGGGCTCCCGATAGAAGGAGCCACACACGGGGCATTTCAACTCTTCCTCCATCTCTTCCATGGGGACCTGGCGGGAAGCGAGGCTGCAGCAGCTGCAGCCGTGGATATCTGGGCTGGTAGGGGGGCTGACGGGCCAGTCGCGTCCAGCACCTTGGCCAGCAGCAGCGGCGGCGGCTGTGGTGGCGCCTTCCCGCGTCCCCCTGGCGACGACTCCCTGCGACTCCCAGGCTGTGAGATCTGCGGAGGCACCTCACCGAGCGCTGGCCAGGGACCGCCCCCTCCTGCCCTTCTAGCCCCGCCCCACCCGGGAGCCGAGCTTATTGGAGGGCGGGCGCCAGAGCGCAGTTCTCATTGGCCACATGCCTTGTCTGTCTCTTTTCATCCGCAGGCCACCGGGGGTTTGGTGAAGTCTGAGGAGGGGCAGATTCTTTGCTCTCTAGCTCGCTCGCGGCTGCAGGATCTCGGGAGGGGGCCGACGTGCGGAGACTAGAGGGGGGTTCAGGAAGGAGGAATTAGGCGGGATGACTCATCCCTTACCCCGCTTCCTTCCGACCTGCGAAGTAGTCACCCAGGAACAGGGACCGTGAGAACCTCCTCCCCGCCGCGAGTGGGCTGGCGGAGGGGGGCGGATGCTTCTAGTCAGCCGCGAGCCTTCGGCTCCACCGAGGGCGGAGCAGCGCAGCGGTGGACGCCCCTTCTCCGCTGCCCCGGGCGACCCCAGCCGCACGGCGTCGCCCTCTCCGAGAAGCCGGAGCCCCGAGCGCCCCCACCTGGAGCCAGACAGCGCTGGGCGGGAGTCGTGGAGAGAGCCTCAAAACCTCCTGCTTCAGCCCAACGCCGCATCTCCAGAAGGGGGTTAATAATCGCGACTTCCTGGCGTGGCATGAGATTTAGCGAGGTAACTAGTATAAAGGTTCTGCATTAGTCGAAATCGATGCCACCTTCATTTCAGGCTCCGAACCCCCAGCCCATCCTCGTATCCCCACCGTCCTCGCGGTTGCTGCCTCCAAAGCTGTAGCCTCATCCCTTGCTTAGCTGAGCTTCCCAAGGTCTGCAGCAACGTGCGTTGAGTCCAGGCAGGTCGAGTCTGCCTATTCTGGGTGCCTGTCGTTTGGTAACTAGCTCTGAATGAATTACTGTATGGCTGCGGAGTCTACGTTTGTCTGCAAACAATATTATTGTCACGTGCCCTGAACATCGATCCAGCACCAGCATGGGGGTTTCTTTCTGTTTCCTCTTGTGAGGGGTGTGTGGTGCTGCTGATGGTGGTGGTGAATGTTTGGGGATGTATTCCAGTGTGAGCCCTTACGTATTAAGTAATCTTCATCTCTCTCTCTCTTCCCCCCAGGTGTCGCTGGAGATGACACTTGTCAGCAAAACCATTGATACAGTGACAGAAAAAAAAAATCATTGAATCGAGTGACATGCTAAAGTAGTAACTTATTGGAAATAGTACATGGCTGACTTTTGCTGAGTGATTCATACAGGCAGTGACAAAAATTATTTCCAAATTCTGAGAAAATTTTCCAAATTACTATCTCCCAGAAAAGGTAACTTGTTTACATGCAGCAACATAATTTAGAATCACTATATTGCCTAGGGAAGAAAATGGACTTTCTGTAGTCTTATCAGTGGAGAAACGGAACAATAAGCAAGATGATTTTTCCAACGCCTTTTTTTTGCTGTAAGGGGGGAAAATCCTAATTTTTATTTAAAATGTGTTAATCACAAATGCTTCGCAGTTTACTTTTAACCTGGCTGATAATTAGTTGAGACCAGAGCACTCAAAAGTGTATGTTGTTGATTTAAGGACATACACTTTTTTCAAACATGGTTGAGATGTTATCTGTACTTTGCAAGACGCGTCTAATTTATGGGTTCCAAGAGAATTTTCTCATACCAGGTAGTTAATTACTGAGAAACTTTTAGGAAGAAGTGTCACTACCATTGTAAGTTACTATCTTTTCATGATTTTTGTATGGATTTGGCTGCAAATCATAGTGACTAGGCCAGTGAAGTAAGGAATTGAATTTGGACTTTGTCACAGTGTATACTGTGCATGCTAAGAGGCCTGCATCTCAGCGGAAAGCTTAAGCTTAGTTCAAAGGAAAGGCAGGTGGTATGATACAGTGTGGGGTACACAGACCTCCGTACAGTACAGATTCAGCACAGTATAGATTCCTGTACACAAAAGTCTGGAAGGAGTGCTTGCCCTCAAGAACTACTAGGAAATATCCTGAGGTGACTTGTTAAGGTCTACTGATCAGGAGTTAACTAAATCACTCATCCCTAGGAGAGCTTAGAAAGAATGTCATTTATTGAGAATTCACCCTGTTATAGGCAGCAGGTTTATTTACTTGTATGCATTAGTTGGTCCAAGCCCTGTATCATCATTTTTCAGGTTAATGACTTGATAAGAAAATACACTTGAGTAAGTACTAAAGGTCCAATATTGGTGAGACTGGGATTTCAGGTGCATGAAATTTTGTTGCTTTTTTTCATTCATTTATTGAATGTAGTCTTCTACCTCTGTCAGTTTTTTTATGTGACAAATACCTTCCAAATGAGCATGGTTAACTTCTGTGCTGTTCTGCTTTATTTTTCTTACATTCACTTCTCTAAAATATTTGAATAGGCACTTGAAGATTTTCCTCTTATGGTGTACCATTAGGCTATAGTGTCTGTACTTTAAAGTCCCCAGTGAAGTATCTTTAAAACAGAATGAGTATCAGGATGTAATTGATGATATTATAGAGGTACTATCCCATTGGGGTAATATTTTCTTTTATCCAGCTGCTGATCGATCTATCGATGAGGATGGTTAGCCTTGTAATTTCATCATTCCTCCTGTGATTTTGGATGTTCTCATTTGGGTAAAATGCCTGATTAGCCTCTGAAACTTACTATTCACCTAAATGGTGTTTTCTCAGTAGTAAGTCAAGCAAATTTAAAATATACCAGTATGCTTTGTTGGTATATTTTTGTTTAAAAAAAAAGCTTGCCATTTTCCAATGAAACATGAAAGATATCTTTCCATTTTTCACCATTAATTGACACAACAGTCTCTAAACCTAAAGAATGAGCACGGAGGATTCTCACTCTTATTATTTCTCTACATTGTTTTCTAACCCCACCTCTTCTTTTTTGTAGGGGGTAAAGTCAATGCAAGGAGTTGATCGTAGGCTTTGACGTTTTAAAATTCTCTGACCCCCCCACAACACTTTTTACTTGGTTAATGATTAAGGGTCTGACTAAATGTGTTTTATAAAAACTGAATCATTTGAAAAATGTTGGGTGTGATGTTTCTGTTTTCAAAAGAAATTATGAAGAACCCTCTTTATGGCACAATTTAGCTCAGTAATTTAGGTTTTATATTTTAAATATTCTATATTATCTTTTTAAAACATTTATGTTTATATTCTTTGATAATTTATTTAGTTTAGTATTGATAATTTAACCCAAGATTTGCACTGGGCTACATCCCAAACCTTTAAAAAAATTTTTTTTGTTTGTTTGTTTGGAATAAGATCTCACTAAGTTCTCGGTATTTTAAATCATGTGATTATTTCTACTGGAAGGTGACTTTATATAAATTCTACAGTATTTCTGTCAATAATATAAACTAGTATTTTGGGAAGGGTTGAGAATCTGAGAAAATGAAGAAGATAGATAGAAGAACTAAGATAAGACAGGAGGTAAATATATCCAAGAGATCAAATTTAAGATTACTAAGAATTTTAGAATATGAAAAGAAATGTATAGGTAGAACTGTAATTGAGAAAATAATTTCTCTGAACCAAAAAAAAAAAAAAAAAGATAAAAGAGTTTTTAGAACTATAGGTGACATTTATGAAAAATGACCCAGGCATATACAGATCAATGTGAAGAAAAGAACATCATACAATACCCTAGGCAGAAAAAAAAAAAACCCACAACTTACTTATAAAGAAAAAAAGAATCAGATTGACATTAGACTTCTTTATGCCACGTTGAAAATGTGAAGTAAATTCTACATTGAGAAGTCAGCCTATCTTAGTCCATTTCGTGCTGCTGTAACACAATGACATTGACTGAGTAATTTATAACAAGCAGAAATATATTGGCTGATAATTCTGAGGGCTGGGAAGTCGAGATCAAGGTACCAGAGTCTGGTGCAAGCTTCTTTCTGAATCGTTCCATTGGGAAAGGCAAAGAGAGCAAGAGAGCTGGTAACTCAATCTTTATAGGGAACCCATTTCTGCTAAAATGGGACTATTCAACCCATGACGGTAGTGCTTCCATGATCCCAAAATCTCTTAAGATTTCTCCTTCCATACTTCTCTGTACTAGGGGCCAAGTTCCCCAGCACATCAACTCTGAGGGACACATTTGTACCACAGCACACCCTATGCATTTTCTAGCCAACCAAGAGGTAACTTATTTGCCAGGTAAGAAAGATATTTGCAAGAACTTAGAGAACGTAGGAATTACTTATTCCACATGAGAAAAATGCAACTGAAGAAAAAAATGAATCTTGAGAGAGTCCTCAGGCTGGCTTAGGAGAGAATGGGGAATTACAAGCGTCCTAATTATCTGATACTGGGAAAAAAAATGAAATGGGAAAGGAAAAGCAGGAAACAGAATGTTTTGGTTAGAGGCATGATTTTGGTATTTTTTCTTACCTAATAGTAAATCAGTACATATATTATGAGCTCTGGGAAAGGAAATATAACTTTTAATATAGCAGAAAGTACAGTATTGCTTGCAAATTAACAACCATTGGAAAAATGCTTTAAATGTAGAAGAAATGGATACTTCCTGGCAAAATATGTAACTGAATTAACCTCTCAAAAGTAAAAGATTATGGGAATTTGATCATTTAGATTATTATTGAAAAGGACAGATGAATTCTAGTTAAATTTTTACAAATAATTAGTTTTAGAGTTAGGAATGTAGCTTGGTGATAAAGTGCATAACTATGACTGGGGTATATATGGACCCAGTGTACAGGGCCCTAGATTGGATCCCTGGGGGCTAGTAAGAAATTTAATTTTAATGTTACTGAAAGAATTTAAAGAAAAAATAACGTTCCACAGTCCACTAATAATGCTATCATAATTTCACTAATAAAATCTGATTATATAATTAGTAAAGAACCTAATGAATAAACCCAAACTATTAGGTTCAAAAATGTTAAATTGAATATCAGCAAAAAGGTATTAGCATGGTATCAAGATTCATGAGCTATGACCAAGTAAGGATATTTTTTAGGATAGCAAGTATGGTAGAGGATCAGGAAAACTATCACAATGCATTATATGAAAGATTAAAGACATCCCAGGGTTTCTACTAGATGAAAATTTCCAGACTTAAGCACACAGAAGAGGAACCCAAACATAGTCCATGGTATCTGTGACTTGAGGCAACAGGGGAGTGGATTTTGAGAAGTCCAGGAAAGGAAGTATTCGTAGGGAGGGAAAGGATAGACAGAGTGAGTGTTCTGATATGGTGGGGGGAGTTTGCTTGTGTCCTGGAACACAATTTGTGCATGTGGGGTGAATCCCTGCCAGGTTGGGCAATAATAACTTCTAAAGAAAAGACAATTACTGGAAGTAATGCTCAGAGCAACATAGGACTGGGAATCATTCATATTTCCTTCAACCAGAATGAAGGTAACTCATGAAATATATAAAAATCAGTTGAGTATTCTCTTGGTGCTGAGACAAAATACCTGATACACAAAGTTAAAGGAGGGAAGGTTTATTTTAGTTTACAGTTTGTAGAGGTTTCAGTCCACAGTTGAGTTGGCTCCATGGCAGGGTGACATGGCAGAGAGACATGCGGAGGAGGAACAGTTCATGACAAGCAAGGGCAGGAAGTAGCAGGCAGTCAGCCTTTTGAACTCTTACTACATCTGGGCTACAGGCTTTCTGGATGGTGTCCCACTAGGGTGGGCCTTCCCATTATCCACACCCAGAATGTGCTGAAATAATCAGTGGTCTAATCTAGTACCACACACCCTAGCTCCAGCCGCCTCTAAAAAGCCCTGCCTATGAGCATACAAGGCGTTGGGGGCACATCTAGATGCATTACATAACGGCATCTATTTCTACTAGGTATGCACAATTAACAATCCATAATTTTAAAATATAACATTTTAATAGCATCAAAAAAGCTTGGTTGGAATTAACAAGATAATGTAAAAGATCAGTACACTGAAAACTATAAAAAGTGTACAGAATAAAGGTATTTCCATCAGATGTTGTGGACTGAGAAAAATAAGATTCATAGGAATATATACAAGATAATTTTTATAGGTTTTGGGGGACTGATGATGCTTCCCCTTAAAGTACTATTTATGTACATATGTTTGCATAGAGCTACATGAAAATGTAGAAATCTATTAAAGCATAACAAGCTGGAAACCATGGTTACTTGGAAAGGTCAGGGGATGAGTGATAGGTAGCAGTGGAGGGGAAGATGGAAGCTATTAAAAACATACCGTTTCTACTTCCCTAGATACAGGATATTCTACTCTTAATAAACTAATGAGTGACTATACATTCTATACAAACACATATACACATATCTGTTTTTTGCTTATTCTAATATACTGTCAAATGTAAAAGAGCAAGTACAGGTGAATGTGTGCATTATGATTCTCTTTGTTAAAAAACACACAACCCACCCCAACCCCTAGGTAGAAACATACTTGTATTTATATGAATGTACAAGAAAGGCTGTCAGGATACTGTGTCATTAGTATTGCTTCTGATTGGGGTTGGAGAAAAGAGGCAGATGATTATCTTTATGCATTTTGACTAGGTTGTTGCACTTTTTATAATAAGCATGGTTATGAATTTGTTATAATTTGAAAATACCTGATCAAAAGGAATTTTAAATTAATTTCTGAAGGATTATGAACACCCCTTTGGGATTCACATTTTCCCTAATCATTGTTTAATATTTCATCTCATGTTTCTAATTTTAAAATTCTACATTATGAATGCTATTAAACTGTTAGTCCAATTTGTATTGTGATTCTTTCTTCATTAAAAATGATACCTATTTTCTTTGTAAGCCTCCCGGTATAGCTTCCACATTCTTTCTAATATTCTCTGGAGCTGTCTTCCTGGTAACTTTCTCTACATTCTGTAAAATTTCAAATATTTTCTTTTCTTTTAAAACGAAACTAGTTTGCTAGAAAAATAAACTCGTTGGCAGAATCTTTTTATTGTGAGTGTTCGATAAATGTTGCCCCAGGCTCTTCTATAATCTTTAAATCCATGCTCAAAGTCAGAAGTTATTTGCCCCACAATTTCATTTTGATTTAACTGTTACCACTTTTGTTAATGCTGGAAGACACAGTATATAGAACGTTTTCTCTTAGGATTTTGAAATTGAAAAACTGAAAGATTGGACAGGTTAGTTGGGTGAGGAGATTGGGTAAAAATGTCATGAGATGTCCTAAGAGGCCAGATTACCCAATACAGTTATGTGGAAGCCAAACTTTCAAGGACTGTGTTAGATGTGGTAGACATTACTGGTGCTTAACAATGTCTAATCGGCTAATCTTTTTCTCTTTTGTGGGTAGTTCTTGCCCACAAAAATGTATGTAGAAGTGATACATTATTTTCTGAGATAGTAAAAATCCCCTAAACAATGTTACAGAGCTTTTTGAGCTGTAAGGTCAAAGCTGTTTGGGTGTTTGAAGCTCTACATGGAGGACATTTATCAGAACTATTGGGTCATGTAATGCTTAGTCTTAATTGTGCGAACTGGATTGTTTGTTAGCTTGGGAATTGTCTAGGAGACTCATAATACTTCTAAATGTGTCTAGATGAATCATGGAGGCATGATCTTGGGTGATATACACAGTTCCTGTCCCTTCCTTTTTGGTACTGTTCCCCTGCTCTGTTTCTTGGCTGCCATAGCTGAACATCTTTGCTCCACCATATCCTTCTGCCATATTTTTTTCCATTGGAACTGCCTGACCATGGACTAATTGTCTGAAACTGTGAACGAAGCTAAACCTGTCCTCCTTTCCACTGTGGGTGTTGAGTATTGTGCCACAGTGGCAGGAAAGCTGACTAGTCCAAGCCACTATCTGAATAACAATAAAGGAGAAATTAACTTGTTACATTAAGCCAGAGATTGGAGGGTTGTATATTACTGTAAGGTAGTGTTATGATTTGGATCGGAAACATCCCTTGAAGGGCTTATGTTTTCAGAGGTGGGGCTTTAAAGTAATTATATTACCGAGATGCTAACTTCATTAAAATTTAATCCACAGATGGGTTCATAGTTGAATGGGCGGCTAGGAAGTGGGACCTAATTGGAGGAAGCAGGTCACTAGGAGCAGCCCTTTGGGCGATATATCCTATCTCCAGTTCCTTCCTCACTCTGGTCTTTTTATTATCTGCTTCCTAGCTCTCATGAACTAAGCTGCTTTCCTCTACCATGCTGTTTTTGACTTAGAATCAGCCAACCATGGACTAAACCCTCTGAAATTATGAGCCCAAATAACACTTTTCTTCATTAAATTGTGTATGTCAGGTTCATCAGGTAAAGAGCACGGTGAGAGAATTTGTTCCAGCAACAGAAGGGTGACTGACTAATACACATAGCCTAGCCTAACCTGACTAATAGAGTAGTAAAGAGACGTGAAGGAAGAAGTGGGCAGAGAAAAGCCATGAATGTGGCTCTGAATAGTTTGTTAATTTTAGTTCCCATCAGGCTTGGTATTACTTTGGTTTCTCTACATGCATGCTACAGAACCTATCAGTATCTTTACAATAAACTTAAATTTGTCTTTTTTGATTAGTTTGTTTGCTCTTTTTCCTTATAATCAAGATAAATATCAAATTATTTAGTCATATCTCAACCATTTACATACTGAGATTTCCATTGCAGCAGATACTGTTTGTGCCTTGACCATTTTTTCTTAACGTATGCTTCTTTATGCTAAGGGTCATTTAGTACAAAAATCATGTGAGTCTTTTAGGGATTTTTTTAGTTAAAGAAGAAAACTCAGTTCACATGCGGGGAAAGTCAGAACTTCCAAGGAAATAGTGCTGCTGTGTGAGGATGTCAAGGATAAATATCTAGGTTTCTTATCTTTTTGTTGTTGTGATAATTTTGAGGCAGATCCCACATTGTAACCCCGAGTTCTCCAGTGGGATGATAATGTCTTTAAAAATGTCACTTCCTTCATGGTGCTCTTCAGAATTAGCTCCAAATAAAATACTTGCACTTAAATTCATGTCTCAGGATATACTTGGAGAAATACAAAGAAGAGGAACATTTTAGGGGGATGGTACAAATGCATGTTGGAACTTAATGTGAGTCTTGAGTCCTTTGAGGATGTGGAGTAAAAGGAACTCTCATTTATCACTGTTGGAATTTAAAAAATAACGGATTGGCCATTTCTTACAAAGTCTTAATGATTTGGCAGTCATGCTGTTTGGTATTTATGCAAATGAATTGAAAATGTATGTCCACATAACAACCTATACATAAGTTGTCTTAGTCTATTTGGGCTACTACCAGAAATGTATTTCTTATAGGAGTGGAAACTGGGGAAGACCAAGATCAGTGTGCCAAAAGCTTCATTGTTTGATGAGAGCTCTCATGTGACAAAGGGATGAATAAGCTCTCGGAGATCTCTCACAAAAGGTCATTAATCCCATTTATGAGGGCTCCAAACTTGTGGTCTGATCACTTCCTGAAGGTTCCATCTCCTGGTAATGTCACTTTGGGGATGAGGATTTCAACCTCAAAACTTTAGGAGGACACAAATATTGAAATAATAGCATAAATGTTTATAGATGTTTTATTAATAACTATGATACTTGCTATCCTTCAGTAATTGAATGAATAACCATTTTTGCAGTACGACAGAGTATTTTTCATTGATGCAAAAGAAATGAACTACCACATCACAAGAAGGTATGAAGGAACCTTCCGCGCATGTTGCTAAGTGAAAGTAGCTCATTATCTCAGTGCTCTTTAATTTCTAGTTCTTGAGATAGAACATTTTGGTTTTGTTGTTTGAAATTGTTTCTCCTTTTTAATGTAGGATTTTTTCCATGCTATTAACTTCCTTTGTAGTACTTTTTTTTGCTGTATTCAGTAAGTTTTAATGTGTCTTCATTTTCATTTGCCTCAAATTATTTTCTAACTTTCTTCTTACAATATTGAGAGGTAATGGAGAAAAGCATCTTTATTTTTTTAGTGCAAAATCTAGGATTTAAATCTTGTGACTTCTTTAGGATTGTATAGCATAGAACAGAGCCAGGATGTTAAGACAAGATTTCTGACACGTGGCTCAGTAATCTTTCTGCTACACTGAGTTCATAGAAAAGAATACAATCATTTTAAAAATTTTTAAAACATGTTCATGAGGTGAAGAGCAAGATGAGAGAATTTTTAAAGACCATAAACTTCAATAGAAGGGTCATAGATGGACCGATTCTTTCAATAAAGAGTCAAAGTACTGATCACTGTTCTGGAATTTTATCTGCCAGGATTGTGCAAGCTGTCTCCTTGTACAGTTCTTGAGCCTGTATGGGCACCAAGTTTGCAATTCCTAAGAATGTAAACTTGGTGGTTGTTTGTGTCCGCATGGTTCTGCAGATCTCTCACTTCAGTACGTACATTGTAATTCTGAGAAGAGGGAAAAAGAAGGAGTGGAGCAGAGGAGAAAAAGAAAAGGGAGATGAGAAAGAGGAAGAGAAAGAAGGGGAGGAGGAGGAGGAAGAGAATAGTCCTCTGGTCTCCACTGAGTAAAAATGTTTCTCATTACTTTCCCCCCAGCTTGCTGAAAATAGGATGGGCCCTGAGTCCACTTAGTATTTCGTGTCCTGTACATGTTCTTTCAATAAATAAAAGATCAGAATTACTAGCTAAGTGACATTGTAACAAGATAGAGTTAAACTCATTCCAGGAAGGGACGCTGCTAAGACATGACTAGCTGTTTTATTATTAATTTCTGTGCTTTGCTAAAGACATCCTTATTCAATTTGTCAACCAGAAAATATCTATTTAGGCCATAAAATAAAATCTAAGTTTAATGCAACAAAATGTTAATTTGACAATTTAAGCAGAGAAAGAGACCACCAGCATGCTGCTTTGTTTTTCATTAACACTTTGACATATTTGAGGTCATTTGTTTCTCCCAACACTAGTGAATTTGTCACTGTAGGGAAATTCAGGCCTGGAGAGTTACGTAGTGGGCGGGGGCTCATCCCCTGCCCTGAAGGATGCTCAGAGCATATACTGGTTTATCTAAATCAGTGTGACAAGGGCATATTTGGTTGCCATATCTTTTAGTAAATATTTTTGGTATTGTACTATGTAACACTGTCTTAGTTTTATCAGTATTTATTGGGTAGTTAAGTAGTAAGTCAAGGTACTAAATTTTTAAAGATGGCTAATATTTACTACTCCGTATTTCTTTCTTTCATGTGACTAATGGATACTGTGTTAGGATACCTTGATGAAGATTTTTTTTGGATAGTTTTATTTCACTGCTGATTTTTAAACCCCAGCTGGTTTTGTTTTACTGACCTTTTGGCTTCTGATGAGGACCCGAACAAGCCAGTTTGTTTTTCCTCCAAAACTCTCCATGTACATTTCCTTCAATCAGGCAGTTTCATAGTTCAATAAAAAACATTTGTTGCTTATTTATGAGCTACTTGAGGAAGCCACCTTTGCCCTTGTGGAGTTAATATTTGTTTTGACAGAATAAGACAAAAGCTGTTCATGATATAACACTGTGAATTCCAAGAAATGGGTACATTTAGGAAAACTTTGCGAATTGGATTTCCAAAGAAAGAGCTATGATAGGGAAGTGTTTAATAGAACACATAGTAAGTAGCTGGTGTTACAGTCTTGAGTTACTGTTTTGGTCATACAATTACATGTAAGCATATGGATGGAAGAAGCAATCAGACTTTTTCCAAAAGGGCAGAAACAGGTTTGTGAGCCTTATATTTACTGAAAGACTCAGAATACTCCTTGCTACTAGGGAAAATCTGATAGCATCCAGAATCTAAATTATAAGATATGTAAAAATATGTTCACATTTATACAAATATATGAGAAGTGTGATAAAAAATATATGGTGAAATAATTTGGTACAGTAAGACATTCTGCCATAATGTTCCTCAGAATAGTCCACCTTACTTCAAACACACTTCTCAGGGCTGGGGATTTAGCTCAGCAGCATAAGCATCTGCCTTGCAATATGTGGTCATGAGTTTGATCCCTGGTACTGATGAAAAAGAAACAAACAAACAAAAAACCAAACACATTTCTCCTATCATTCTTGCCATTTTTTGAAGCAGTTCTGTAAGTCGTCTTTTGTGTCTTTACAAGATGTGATTTAAAAATATGGAGATCCTCCTGCCTCAGTCTCCCAAGTGCTGGGATTATAAATGGTCTATTTTGTAGATAACAGCTTTGTAAAGCTGTGAGGTAGCTGGATGTGGTAGTGTATGCCTGTAATCCCCATACTCCCCAGTACTCAGTACTCGGGAATCTGAGGTAGGAGGATCAATGTTAGTTCAAGGCCAATCTGGGCTACAAAGTAAGTTCAAGGCCAGCCTGAACTGTGTAGTAAAACCCTGTCTCAAACACACACACATAAATAAAAAAAAACTGTGAGGTAGAAAAAGTGGTTCAAGCTTTAGTGCTATCTTCCTTTCTCATGTTGAAAGTTACTAGGGAAACTATTTGTTACCAACAATAATTTGAATATAGAAAATAAGAATGTTTATTTGTAATTTAATGTGCCTGACTGGAAACCATGATTTTTAGATAACTGTCCAAGTTTATGCTTATCTGAGAACCTATATTTAAGAAGCTTTCCTAGCAAATCAGTCAGAAATGAGCTGCTTCTTTATTAGCATTTATAGGTAACAAGCTTTGTGTTTAACTATAGTCATTCATAGGTCTACAAATTTAGAAGTTTGATGTGTTGGTAGTGGCATTTTCTCACAGATCACATTTTTCTCTGCCTGTTTTGTTGTAGAATAGACTATGCTTCTATTTATCATGATTCTTACTTGCATTTTGGAGACAAAGGTTGTGTTTGTAGCTTCTGATGCCATCTGTATGAGAAGTAAGGGCCCTTGTTAATATTTTTGGGTATCTACTGTATCAGTGTAAATACCGGTGAAGAATCCAGTTGCAGTCAACAACAATAATAGTAGACGTACTTCATGCTAACTTCTAAGTGCCTTGCAAGCACCATGCTTGCCAATAGCATACGACGATGTGTCATGATCCTCATAACCACGGTAGGAGGCACATTTATTCTTGCCCTTGGTAGCTGAGGAAAGCGAAGCCCTGAGACCTTCAGTGCCTGAGGTGTTACAGTTAGTGAATTGAAGAGTTGAGATTCCAACATAGGTCTGACCACTCCGCTTGCATCAGTGTTCTAGGTCTGCCATATCAAAGTTTCCATGCTGGCTGGATCAAACAACAGGAACCTACTTCCTCACAGATCTAAAGACGTAAAGCCCAAGGTCCAGGGAGCAACAGGGTTGGTTTCTTCTGAGGCCTCTCTGGTTTGTAGATGGCTATCTTTTCTCTCTGTTCTCCCAGGAGCCCCTCAACACCTGCCAGTGTCCTTATCTCATTTTATAAGGATACAGGCCATATTGGAGCAAGGTCCACCTCAATGAGCTTGTTTAACCTTAACGACTTTTTAAAAGACCTTGTCTCCAAATAGAGTCATGTGTTGAGGTACTGGGAGTTCAGCCTACAGTGGTCCTTAAGCCATGAAAGCTGTGTATTGCCTATAAAAGGAAACAACAACT